GTCCCGTTCCCTAGAAACATCCGCTGCCGCTGCCGTTGCGGAACACTTCAAGGTACGAGTGCCCCCTCCACTTCGCTGTCCACCCTCATTGCTGCTGCCGCCACCGCTACAACCACCACCTTTTCTGAAATTCCCATCTGAAGGCGATGATAACGCCGCTGCTTTCAGACGAGAAAACAAGGATGAACTCAGATCGCGTCCGTGCCGAAGCTGCGCGGATAAACGGTGACAGCCGCCGCCTGCGTCTACGCCCGGGCCAACGTTGATGTTGATGTCATTGTTGTTGCGGGTGGAGCGGTGGTGATGATGAGCGTAGTCCAAAGACCGGTTCGTTATCGGAGGCAAGAAAGCCAACGACGCAGCGCCGGTAGTCGCGTGAATAATAAGCGTGGTGTAGACGACGCAGAGAGCCTTGTTGGTGAAGGAGCAGCCCGGGGATACTCGATTCGGGAGACGCTGCGGCATCTATTTGACGGGCGCGGGGTGGGGGTGGGGGGTGGGGGGGGTATACGACGGGCCGGGTGCCCTCTTTGGACCACGATGGTGAACGATGGCTAGCGTTAGAATTTCAGTATGCGTACAAGAAACAGCCGCACAGCGAATGCTGCAGTGCCGAGGGAAACACCAGCACGGAGCGAAAGCGATGACAGATCATGTCCTAAGGAAGTGGTGGGAGACGAAGCCCAACCCAAATGGCTTCGAGAGGCACTTCCGCCAGGAACCAAGGGCAAACACGATCACCCCGAACTAGATTATCGGGGCCCATGAATGCCATCGACAACAGCGAGGACTAGCCTTGATGGGTGTAGCGTGAGTGCGGCACCGTCTCATAGGGGGACACTGTAGGCTGGGCAGATGCTCGAAAGCGGAAAGCAAGTGTCAACGGATGCACAGCCCGGAACGGTTTCTGTGGGGATTGAAATGGATACCAAACGACTGTTGTGACGCTGCTGTTTAGACACGTTCGTTCATAAGCAAAGCAATAGAAAATCCGGCCAATCAAATCGCCCCATGGGCAGATCGCTGAACCCTGTTGTCCACAACCAGGGAATGCAAGACTCTGCGATGGAAATTCGAGAATTCGGCACATGCGCTCCATGAAGGACACCGAAACGCAAGGTGGGATACGAAAGCAGGAGAAACGCTGTAGATGCGTGGTAATATGCTCGAGTTCTTCATACGGAGAGCCTGTAATGATAGGGATGCCTTGGCATGCGTCTTTTGCAGAACACTGGCTGCAACAACGCACAGCCCATTCAGCTTGTGCCCTCCACTCTGGCAACGCGGAGGGTGAGAGTGAAACTGAACGGCGATATCGTGCGATGTATGCTAGAGGGTTAGTGTGTAACACAAACAGCGGCCGGCGACACCATCGAAGCAACCTTCAATTGCAAATGAATGTGGCATATTCTGGAGGTGCCCCCCCTGGAACATACGTAGGTACAACTGTTACTGCTGTAGCTTCGTTGGGACTCGGTGGAGAAGCATTCAAGAGCCTTGCAATCGGAAAAAAGAAGCGGAACAAGAACAAGACAACACCCACACTTACACCTGCCTGATGCATGCGAGCCTTAACAAAAGCAAAGACGTCGGCCAGCGACAGTCGACCAGCTCTGCTAACCTCTAGTAATAGTCAGTGCATATGTGTTCGAGTCCTACGGCAGACAGCGTCCCTGTCCTTGAAATCACCAACACATCATCGTTCCCTACACCCCTGTCAAAGCAACACTTGGCGGACGAGTTGGAGGGACACACACCTACTTGGCGATTGTACCATAACTGCTACATTTAGCAGGCCACGGTCATCTCCTACCTTGTCCACAGCTTCAGGCTTCCGGCACGTGTATCGAAGGGGTACGCTTCTCTCCGTTCGTCGCACGAGGCGCGAAGTACTACGTCCCCAACGACAGGAGCAGAGAGGAGAGAGGAGGAGGACACGAGATCTCCCATATTTTTCCCATGGAGCTCCATCGCGTGTTTTATCGGAGATCTCTGAAACGCCTGAAGCTACGGGACTGTCGAGATGTCGAAGCAATTCAACAAATCATACCATCATATGCTATCTCTCCGCCCTCCCGTGCAAGCTTGGGCTGGATGAGATAGCACGCGTGGATGAGAAAGCGGAGTCGCGGTACCCGTCTGATCGAAAACCTCGAGGGGCAACCAAAACCCGGTAGCTGCGAGCAGCCAACATAGCAGTTTAGATGGAAGAAGTCGACGAGCTCGTGCCGCACCCCGACAGTAATGGGCTGTTGAACCTTACGCACAGGGCTTGGGTGCTGTTAGACAGCGTAATATGGACCATGTAAGCTCTCTCGTTTGTTTTGAAGAAAAGCGCACCAGCTAATTTTATCCATCCTCCGATTCCTTCATATCTAGTCAGTTATCAAGCAGGAGTCCCATGTCAAATCACTCGTTGTGAGCCATCGCTATTTATTTTTTTTCTCCCATCATCGGATTCTGTCGTCTGCCCCTCTGGCCCCTATCCTCCACTTCTACTAGCTAGACGACCCAACCGGGGTCACATAGGATGGGGGGGGCTGGACCCTCTCCTGCGGTCCCTGCCTGAGGTATTTTTATCGCGAGAAGGATACAGCAATCCCTTCCCTCGCGACTTACGAAGTCGATTAGTCAATGGTTTACCAACAACGAGCTTTGCAACGCGTCGCTTTCATCCTAGGTCAGTATATATTTGGTGAGAAAATAACTCACTCTGCCGGGACTTGAACCCATGACCTGGCCCTTAGCAGGCTGCGAAGTTACGCACTAGACCACCGGGGCGACTGGTGTGTGTTAACCTTGCTGACCTTTGACGACCTGCTTTTGAACATGTGCGTTTTTCTGATCCTAACACGCGTTTGCCCCGGAAATATTCTAACGGGGGCAGGAAACGAGAGCTGATTGTTCTCAACGTCTCTTTCAACAACATCGAGTACCTCCCTCCTGAGCTAGGCGACCTCGTTCTTCTGAAGTGAGCACCAGACGTGAACAAATAAATACGTACGGTAGCCCTGACGGTGGTTTAGTCGGCAACTCCCAGCAGGAAGAACCGTCGACACGTCAGTACGGTATGACACATCTATATCCAAAACCATCATACGTGAAGACGAAGTTTTCCCTGCGATGCAATGATGTTCTCTTCTCGCTCAACGTCCCCAAGGTTGAAGCTGAAGCAATTCTCGGCTACGATCGGTTCTCCATGATGCATCTGTACGCTGCCCCCCCAATGTTTGTTCTGTCTCAGAGAGTTGGATATATCATGTAACAAACTGGAGGCATTGCCTCCCGAGGTGGGAAAGTGCACTAGGTTGCGGAAGCTGAAAGCAAACGGCAACTACGTGGAAGTGGTCCCGGCCGAGCTTGGACATTGCTCCCTACTTGAGGTAAGGAGGGACAGAGAGGCGTCTGATCAGAGTTTCGGGACACAATAATCGCGAGAGGTGTTTCCCTGGTCCCTGGAGCAGTTCGGGATTGGCTGCACCTTTGCACCCCACCATAGAGCTAAATGTTTCTGGGTGAATCGCAACTATTTCAATACGTGACGTCGACATCATTGTTTGACGACAACGTGACTACTGGATTCTGTGTATATCCGAAGTGTATTCCACTGTCTGAGAGCCCAGACACTCACTACGCTACATACAATTGTTGTAGATGATAAACAAGTCCTATACGCAACCCTCGCTATCCATACCGCATGCAATATTTTCGTTTGAGACTAAACCTGTTCTGTACTTGTGCAGGAGTTGATCTTGTCCGAGAATAAACTGGAGGAAATTCCCGAATCTCTGGCTAATCTCAAGGCCCTACGAGTCCTCCGGCTACAAAATAACCGGCTCAAGACCCTTCCGTACGCGCTCGGAGCGGTAATTACCCTGGAGGAGCTCGATTGCGCGGGAAACGCGGACCTGGACGTAGTCCCGCCGGCTTTGCATAGTAACACGGCAATGATCCTCTGGGTTTGCCGCTTGCATAAAGGTTTGTCAAGCAGCGGAGCTCTGCTGGCCTCAGCTAGACTTTTCTCTGTATCGAGCGTATACATGATTCATGCAACCACAAGAAGACGCGAAAGGACTTGAAAGGTAGAGGGCATGTCTGTGGAAGAGAGGTGATGATCTCATACTGCCATCGTCTGCACACGAATGGCAGGAGGGACCATGCCACGCTTTTCATATTTTATCCAAGTACTTGAAGCTGTGGTCGAATGATCTCAGTACAATCGAGAAGAACGATGCAGTCGATCACGTATGGGTATCTAGGGTTTTTTTTCGGTTACACCCCACACCTTGTCGTATGAAAACATGCTTTTTGGGGGTTAGACGGGAAACCGGTGATTGAATGGCATTTGGGGAAGAGGCGGCGAAACTCGACCGGGTTCACCTTTGCCGTCCGTTGGTTCAGCAGATAAAAGAGAGGCTGAACCTTCGATACGTTTTGGAGGAGAAGCTGCACGCCCACTCAGTTTGAGATATGCTTGTGGCCAGTGGACGAGAGAGTATTATTCCCCCCAGCCCGACGCTTGAAACCAATGGTATTTCTACCGCCATTGTGCCGTGTACCCTCAACACCCAGACCACGCGGAGGATGCTGAGCAACTCCAGCGCCTGAACGACGCGTTGGAAAACAAGGCCCAGAAGATAGAAGAGACAAAGCTCCGATTAAAGGTGGCTATGACGTAGTCGTGTGCAGAGCAGCATCTTGCCCCCTCAGCCGCAGCTCATCGAAGGCTTTGCAACCTCGACATGGTTTCGCTTGGCATCTTTGTCGCGCCGTTCATCGCATACCGAAACTGACATGCCTGTTCTGGGAGCTGTTGACGTAAACGATATTGCCTTCCTTAAAGGGGGAAAAGTCGGTGACGATGCTGCAATCAAATGCGCAGCTATGCCGTCCCCTCCGCCGACGCCACCTACCGAACCTACACCCCCAACACATGCGGAACCAGGCATTGTTTCGTTGCAGTCCGTGGCAATGTAGGTTGTAGCAAACCGCTGTCGAAGAGGCGAGGCCTCCCTGCTTGCCCCCGACCCCGTTGGACAAGACACCAACTACGTCGGTCAAATGCCAACCTAGACGATGCGAAAGGCGGTCACTCAATACACCCGTCTCTCGGCCAGCTTCTGGCCTGACCTTCTTGTCTCCGCTGTGCCGGTAGGAAGAGATTCGAATACTGCAGGAGCAGCGAAGGGCGCTGCTGAAGGAACGACCAGGGGCGTACCTTGCAGCCAAACGAAAGGTATGCTCAAAGCGACCCCCTACAGGCCAAACTTCCCGAAAGGGCCGATCCATGATGACATCGGCTATCGGGTGCAGTGAAAGTGCTGCATTTTCCCTTGTCAGGCATCAGTGACAAGAGCTCTCGTAACTCGTAACCCGCCGAAAAAAAGACATGGACGGGCTCACGCTACCCCTCGCAATGCTACTGAGCGTCATAGTCCGTATATGAATTTTCCTGTCACCCACACCACTGCGCTCCGCTGTGAGGAAGCGGGATATCTGCCCAAACCAAATCCTCAACAGAAAATCACCCGGAGCATGGGACTTTTGGGGTCGGCTTCCGGCGTTCAATCAGGGCTGAGAAAGCATCTCAGAATCGGAGTTAAGGCATGCATTACCTTTCCGTTGTCCCGGGAATGTAATTTACACCGACCCTCCGTCCGCCGTGACTGCTTCAAGCAACGAGCACCGCGTGTGTCCATCCGTCTGCGTTTAACCCTCACCGCTTTCGCAGGTGGACGCGACCGTCTCGAAAGTTTGCAGCGTATCGTGATAGAGAGGGGCACAAGAGCAAATTCTTAAGAGGGAGAACCGGCGTACGCGTTGACCAGGATGGCTCTTCCTACGCTACAAGAGGCGGCGCGATGATTAACCTCGATCGCCTCAAGAAAGACGATGCCAACAGATCTCGTGGAGTATTGCGGAGGGCCCCTTTTTCCCAACTCCAATGAAGCTACGCGATTAGACTAGGTCATCACGAGAAAGATCACCACTCCGCCAACAATCCGACGCGACCCACGCCTATTAGGAGGAACAGGCCGCATCAAAATTGCGACAAATCACATTAGGGCGCACGAACACGCGCTTGCGGACGTATACCTTAAAATGCGACGGACGCAACACGGACGATGACGGCATGGCCAGTGTTCTCTGAAAAAAAACCTTGGCGGACATCAAACCACCGACTGTTTATCTCACATCCGCCGACACCACTCGGACCTCCAAATGCGCACCCAAAAAACATGGAAGCGGTAGACTAATTGTGATCAACAGCAATATAACGTACGTGGTGGGTAGATACGTTGTTATTTTATTACTTCTATAGTCTGCCCTTGCCCCTTGTAGGCCTCGCCACATCACGAAGGCAAGGACGTGAGACATTGGTCTCGAAGGACGTGAGACATTGGTCTCGACGGACGTGAGTGATTGACTTCCACGACCACCGCCCGCTTGGGCGATGTCTCGAGCGAGCATCACCTCAAGGACGTGACCCGTAAGGCTTGTGTTTTGGCGTATAGGGCGCACGTGCTACCGTTGGGGCTGGCGCTGCTCCCCCGTTCTTTCCGGCACGTGGACCTTGTCTTCCTCCGTGGCGTCGCCTATTCGTCTGGTCGATACACAGGCCAAGGCAAAGGTAAAAAACAACTGGGGAAGAAGGGCCCGACAAGCGTGAAGGCGAGGAGGAGAACGCACGCACGCAACGGCCTACACCTACGCAGGCAGCCATCACGGCTCGAATTAAACGCCGGGCGACTCGAAGCTGCAGGAAGGCGTACTCCACGACGAAAGCGGTTTAAGCGACAAACGACACTCGGGAGCGAGACGTTTGATCTGCATCACCTGTAGATGTTGACCACGGTTGTCTTCCCGCTCTCGGTCATGGTCGTGTCGGCCTCGAACGCTTCGATCCACAAGTCTCCGTCAAAGTACTTGAATGTTTCGTAGTATTTAAAGACAGGACAGGGGCCCAACGGACACGACGCATACAGAAAAACCGACCGACCGACATTCAGCGTTGGTACACAGAGACGTAAACGGGCCGGCAGGCAGACAGAAAGCGGGCCCGAACGCGCGAACAAACACCAAAGAAAATCACCGTGGGATCTGCCGTCGAGAAGGCGTCGAAAGACATCTTCGAAGATACCCCCCCCCACCGGGGGTCCCCCCCCCCTGGTGTTTGCCATCGGGGTTGGGTTTTCGTCGCTTGGCAACGACGTTGTAAAACAAGCCGCCCCCCCCGGTGTTTGCCATCGGGGTTGGGTTTTCGTCGCTTGGCAACGACGTTGTAAAACAAGCCGCCCCCCCCGGTGTTTGCCATCGGGGTTGGGTTTTCGTCGCTTGGCAACGACGTTGTAAAACAAGCCGCCCCCCCCGGTGTTTGCCATCGGGGTTGGGTTTTCGTCGCTTGGCAACGACGTTGTAAAACAAGCCGCCCCCCCCGGTGTTTGCCATCGGGGTTGGGTTTTCGTCGCTTGGCAACGACGTTGTAAAACAAGCCGCCCCCCCCGGTGTTTGCCATCGGGGTTGGGTTTTCGTCGCTTGGCAACGACGTTGTAAAACAAGCCGCCCCCCCCGGTGTTTGCCATCGGGGTTGGGTTTTCGTCGCTTGGCAACGACGTTGTAAAACAAGCCGCCCCCCCCGGTGTTTGCCATCGGGGTTGGGTTTTCGTCGCTTGGCAACGACGTTGTAAAACAAGCCGCCCCCCCCGGTGTTTGCCATCGGGGTTGGGTTTTCGTCGCTTGGCAACGACGTTGTAAAACAAGCCGCCCCCCCCGGTGTTTGCCATCGGGGTTGGGTTTTCGTCGCTTGGCAACGACGTTGTAAAACAAGCCGCCCCCCCCGGTGTTTGCCATCGGGGTTGGGTTTTCGTCGCTTGGCAACGACGTTGTAAAACAAGCCGCCCCCCCCGGTGTTTGCCATCGGGGTTGGGTTTTCGTCGCTTGGCAACGACGTTGTAAAACAAGCCGCCCCCCCCGGTGTTTGCCATCGGGGTTGGGTTTTCGTCGCTTGGCAACGACGAAAAACAAGCCCCCACCTCCTCCGGTGTTTGCCATTGGGGTTGGGTTTTCGTCGCTTGGCAACGAGGTTGTAAAACAAGCCGCCCCCCCCGTTGTTTGCCATCGAGGTGTGGTTTTCGTCGCTTGGCAACGACGTTGTAAAACAAGCCACTTCACTTCGTGAACTCGGCAACCAGGTTACCGTTTTTTTCTTTTACCTCTGTTTTTTTTTTTGGCGGTAACCATAATGGTGGTCGAGTAGATCATGTTGCGCGGGGTCGAGAACCCTCGCTCCGCGCAAGGGGGATGATCGCA